ACTTTCATGGTAGAGATGCTGGAGACGGCCGCCATATTGAAGCAGGCGACAGCGCGCTCCTTCGTTATCATGGATGAGGTTGGCCGCGGGACAACGCCTGAAGACGGGACAGCAGTCAGTTTTGCGTGTCTGCACCACCTGCACTACCGCAACAAGTGCCGGACATTGTTTGCAACCCATTTCCATGCTTTGGCGGACATGACCGGTGACTTTGAGGCACTGGGGCGATACTGTACCGATGTGAAAGAGACGGCCTCGGGGTCGTTCTCATTTGTCCATCGACTGCGCAAGGGAGTGAACCGTGAATCTCATGCGCTGAAAGTCGCGCAGCTCGCAGGATTGCCGAAGGAGGCCCTAGAGATGGCCAGTCGAGTACGACAGTCGTTGGGTAACACGGCTGCATGGTCTTCGGGCGGTAGCGATAGCAATATGTCGGGTGAGCAACCGCGTAGTGCTCGTTACTCCTGACCCTCCATGTACATATGCCGTATCTTCTCGTGTGTTGCACTTTTGCTCGAGATACCCATCTAGTCATGCTTATCGTACATTCATAACTAAGTTTCTCCAACGGACAAAGGCCTCCATTCCAGACGTAGGCAAGAATACCACCTCCTCCAAGCGTTTTAGAGCTTGGAAGCACCCGATGTCCGAGTCTTCCCCAAATCAACCACAACTCCTTCCCCAAACGCAGCCTCCTGCACATCCTCATCATCCACACCGTTGACAAACTGCACAACCACAAAATCCACCCGCCTGGAACCCAACACCACCATCGGCGCATGCCACGTCCCAACCCCATACGTCACCGCTTGCCCACCCCGCGCCACAAACGCCCGCACATTGTTCAAGTCAGGGGGGTCCCTGATCGTCACAGTGTCCCCCGAAGGCGTAGTTGCCGTCGCCGTCTGGCCCTTCAACGTCGGCGCCACGATAACCAGGTAGAATGGTTCCTCCGCATCGCCTGCGCGGGCCTGGCTGGATAGGTCGATAGGTGTGAAAGTCTGCGTGGTGAAGGGGTGTCGCTCCAGGATGCGGACGTCGAAGACGCTAGTCTCCCCTCCTGTTCCTCTGGAGCTGCGCAGTTTGCGCGGGAAGCACGAGAACATGCTCATGCGGGCGGAGGAGGGCTGTCCGCTGGGACATTGCGGGTAGCGGTCGAGGAGTGGGGAGATGGGGCTGTACTTGAGGGCGGAGGATTGGTTTGCAACGACTGGAGCGGGATCGTGAGGAGGGAGAGAGGACAGAGGAGGTGCGGAGGAGAGATTGCGTGGGAGAGGACAGCTGATGGCGGTGCCGAAGGGTGAGAAGGCCTCTTGGGTGAAGGGTTCGGGGGTGATGCGGAGAGTTGGGCTGGAGGTGAGGATGGGCGCCATGGTGTTTTGGATTTGACACTTCGTTGAGACTTTGGGAAAGTGTTAGTGTGTAAAGTTCCTTTGAACTCAATTGCAAGGACCAGCCTCGCAAAACCTGAGAGCAATGCTGGGTTAATAAATCAGGAGAGCAGTCGACAATGACTCCATAAGTGTCGGCACTCGCCGTGGGTGGCAGACGCTAAAAGCAGCTTCGGAAGAGGCCGACTATCATCAACACTTCTCCTATCGACTCCATTAAGAGGTATCTTTCGCAGTCTAAGAATAAGACGAGTTTCAATCATGCATTCTATGGTGATCGCTGATACAATTCATTCTTCTGAATTGTCTTGGAGTTGATTTCTGATTGATGATCGTCCACATCGATTTTCAGGGTCCTCCTCTAAACCAGTTGGCGGGATCTCGCCGGTCATACAACAGGGAGACTCACCACTCCAGCTTAATTTTTACGGACTTACACCGGTCTGCATCAAAATGCAGCAGAAGATTGACAGGGTTCAGAACAAGGCTCCTCTAAATATGGATGCTCCTTTTCTTCCCCGCATTCCCGCAACTCCGCAACAACCGATTGGCATCAGCCATTAACCGAGGCCAGTCTGTAGTTGATGGGGACAATAAGGGTACTTCAATCAACTACGATAAGACTTCTCTTGCTATAAATGTACCGAGGATCACTGCTGAATTCCTTCTAGTGACTATCCCAGATCCATGCGACTTCACCATTGTACTCTCGAGCAAGATCCATACCCCTAGCTACTGATCTCAATGGCCTCAACATCCAACCTGCCGAGGAAGCTCTGGGAGCATTCTGACCCGCAGTCTACTCAAATGTGGGCTTTCAAATCGGGTTTAGAGAAAGAGAAGAGACTTCAGCTTCCAGTACGTACCTTTGAGACTAGTATATCACTCTCCTTTTGTCGTCTAACGCGATTGCTAAGGACTACCACTCTCTCTATCTGTGGTCAACCCACAATCGTGCAGCCTTTTGGGACTTTTGCTGGAGATACTTTCCCATCATTTCAGAAGGCACTTATAGGAATGTTGTCGATGAATCAGCCCGCATTGACAGCATCCCTACCTGGTTTGAGGGTGTGCGACTCAACTTTGCCGAGAATATGCTCTTTTCGGCAGAGAGGTCAAGCTCGGGGCATCTACAGATTACAACGAAAGGCAAGGAGGACAATAAAGTTGCTCTGACACAAATTAGGGAGGGAGGCTCGGAACCAGCTTCAAACGTTACATGGGCCGAGTTGAGACGCAAGACAGGGGGAATGGTGCAAGCACTCAAAGCAGCCGGGGTCGTCAAGGGAGATCGAGTCGCTGCTGTAGCAAGTAACAGCATCGATACACTTGTCGTCCTCCTGGCAACGACGGCTCTCGGAGCGTTGTTCTCGTCAACGTCCACCGACACCGGCGTCAAAGGAATCCTCGATCGACTGCTCCAGTTAAGGCCAAAATACGTTTTCGTTGACGATTTTGCAATCTACAATGGGAAGCGGATTGACCTTCGACCAAAAATCAAGGACATTGTCGATGGTCTCCGGGAAGTTTCCGAATTCGAAGGCATCGTCACGATCCCACGATTCCCAGGCCAGCTAGTCGATGTGACCGGAGTGCCTAGAACACAGCCCATGGCAGCCTTTCTCGCAAGAGCACCATCAGACAAGCTCGAGTTTGTCAGGGTTGGATTTCGGGATCCTTTCCTGGTCGTGTACTCGTCCGGGACAACTGGAAAACCCAAACCCATCGTTCACGGCGTAGGCGGCGTCATCCTCAATACATACAAAGAGGGTCGGCTGCACCGTGATCATGGACCAGACTCGACGGTATTGCAATACACAACCACAGGGTGGATCATGTATCTGTCTGCCATATCAGGGCTAATGTTTGGCGCAAAAGCCATCTTGTACGATGGAAGTCCCTTCCTACCGGATGTCAAGTTCCTCATCGAGCTACTGGGCAAGCATAAAGTGACTCATTTCGGCACATCACCGCGCTATTTCCATGAGCTCCGGAAGAACAACATACGAGCAAGAGACATTGCAGATCTCAGGGCACTCCGCATCGTCACGAGCACCGGCATGGTCCTTTCCGAATCCTTATTCGAATGGTTCTACGACGAGGGTTTCCCATCTCATACCCAGCTGGCGAATATCTCCGGTGGCACAGATCTCGCCGCCTGCTTTGGCTTGGAGAATCCGCTTACTCCTTTATATGTGGGCGGGTGCCAAGGTCCAGCTCTGGGTATTCCCATTGCAGTATTCGATCAAGCGGATGAGGGTGCTTCTGGCGTCAAAGGCACTGCCGTTCAGGATGGTGCGCCAGGAGAGTTGGTAGCCACCGCAGCATTTCCAACTATGCCGGTCAAATTCTTGGGCGATGACGGGCCGCAAAAGTATTTTGACTCATACTTTGGCCGGTTCGACAGTAAGTCTCGTTCACAACTCCACCCTCTCAATCGCATCTACTAAACCTGTTATGTGTAGATGTCTGGACCCACGGCGACTTCATCAGCATCCACCCCATCACAAAACAAATCTTCTTCCTGGGCAGATCAGACGGTGTCCTCAACCCCTCAGGCGTCCGCTTCGGATCCGCCGAGATCTACAACGTAATTGACACGCAATTCTCAACCGAGATCGCAGATTCGATCTGCGTCGGCCAGCGACGGCCAACCGACGCAGACGAATCTGTCATGCTCTTCCTGTTAATGCGGCCGGGATTCCAATTCACGCCGCAACTTGTCTCCAGAGTGAAAGAGGCAATCCGGAAGGCATTGAGTGCCCGACATGTGCCGAAGTATATCTTCCAGACGCCTGAGATTCCGGTATGTGCAATTCTTTAGGGTCTCAAATGGACTTGACTAATGTGGTACAGACAACGGTGAATCTGAAGAAGGTAGAATTACCGGTGAAACAGATAGTATCAGGCAAGAAGATCAAACCGTCGGGTACTCTGCTCAACCCGCAGAGCTTGGATTACTATTACCAGTTTGCGGAGGTCGAAAAGCTGGTCGATCTCAAGAGCAAGCTGTAGAGTGGGCTTTACACGAGTCACTGGTTTCTGAAGCCATCCTTGCATTTTTTTTTTTATTGGTAGACTAGCCTAGAAGAATCGCATGCTTGTTGGCTATGAACACTCTTGGCCATCGTTTTTCCAAGCACACAGCTCTCAATAACTTGAGACAATCCATACCTAGTCCGAAAAAGGACGGAAATCAGACGCACAAAGCCTATCTCAGGAACTGCATCAAATCCACAAGATCGCGAATTCCAGCATCGACTACTCTTTTTGACCATAATGATCATTCATTCAATGGGTAGCTTTCTAAGATGAGCCCTTCTCCCGTGCATGCTTTGGCGAGTGCAGATTTCAATGTGAGAAGAGATGCGGCATTTACACAACGGTGTTTGCCCGCAGTGCAATGAGTGGTTTTAGATTGAAGGCTTCCATAGACTGCCGACAATGAGGAGCAATCCATATGGCTTGTGGCCTTCATTATAGCCCCGAGGTGAAGTGAGTCGCAGCAAAAATGGCAATAGACAGTCTCGCTCTTGAGGCGTGTGGTTTCGGCTGAGAGTACATCGTTCGCTTTTTCAGTTGCAGCAATCCAGCCCTTAGTGATGTCGTCTAGCGAAAACGCGTTTGTAAGTTAGCACTTATGACCTTCAATGCATTGGATCGAGACTCGAGACTTCCAGGGGCCAATAAAGGATATAGGAAAAATGATAGGACAACAATACCTTTGATAGTCACTGGAAGATTGAGGTCGGCGGGATACTTGGACGATGAACATCTCCAAGACATGGCAGCACTTGTGGAGCTTGTGAACAAGGAAGGTTGTCTGAAAGCCCAGCTGATATAGGCCCATTTCAGGCAGTTGTCCCATGTGTCGTAGACTACTTTCTTCGCATCGAGCAACCGCTTTATCCAGACTCCGAGGACAAAGGTACATGCCGGTTCACAGTCGAGATAGCAGACCACAGCAGCGACTTTCAGCATCATTGCTACATCCACCTCATTCGGGATCTGCTGGCCCTTCCCGTGGATGATATTCATGACTATCAGGAAAGCTTCAGGATCGCAGTCTAGCATATGGACTTCATCATACCCTGGCTCGTCGGCGGTGCTTGTTGGAGCGATGCGTTTCTTGATATGGGCCTTGAAGTACTCTGATGCCAGAGTGAGGTGTTTCGACGAGACTCTGAAGCGGGTCTGGGGTGTTTCAACTGCAGCTGGTGCAGCTTCCTCTGGATCAGAAGGTTTTTCTCCCGAATCTTGTTTGAGAGGCGTATGGTGATCTGCTTCTGTAGACGCTGGAGAAGTCGATGACGCCGGTTTGGCTTGTGCTGTTGGCTCTGTCGAGCTGGTCTTGACGGGAGCGCGTCGCTGTGCGGACAGGACTAGGACGACATCGCCAGAAGGGTCGATCTCGTGGTAGTGACCACTCATCCTATCTTGTTAGAATGAAGCCTTGAGGGGTTTGATGCGTGAGGAGGTTCATACTTGATGCTCACCCTTCTGAATGAGGGTGGTTGCGGGTGGTAGTTCCTTGATAAAATGAGGAGAAGCTTAAGCTGTCAGAGGTAACAACGAAAGAGGGCTGTTCTGTTGTTAGAAAGAGAAGAGTAGAGTGTTGCTATAGCGATGCTTGTGTTGTTAACCTCACTTTTCATCAGTACAGCTCAGGCACTGTCAGCGTATTCGATTAATTTGCTCGCTAATAAGGAGAAGGCATGTCAATAACATCAGTGAAATGGGATTGCAAGGCAATTAATCTTCAACATATGGACAAAATAAGAAAAATCACTACATGCACTAGTTAAAAATGGAGTTACATTGTCTTTCAGGTGAGGTGATCTTGATAGTGCACCCAAAAAGAGTGAGAACACACTCAGATTCCTATAAGAATCACCTGAGGCTTTTCACCCAGCCAACCACATATGTAGTTTCAGACCCTGTGGTTCTTCTGCCAATGTCAACGCCATCTCTCCGGTAGCAGGATGTGTCCAAGTGATTTCGCTTGACGGTATAGGCGCTCTTCGATTGCTCCAGGTCCAAGAAGCCCACCGCACCGACCTTTGCAAGATACCTCGGTGCTCGGTTTCTTGAATTCGAGGATTTTCTTAGCCACGCTTTCTGGTGCAAGGCCTTTATAATCGAGGTTCTCGCGGCGCCATGGCAGTCCGTGGGCCTTCATTTGCTTCATAAGTGCCCCTAGTCTCAACGAGTCGCACTCGAAAGTGCAGGTGATCTCGCCGGTCTCTAATTTCTGCCGCCTGGCTTCCACAGCTCTGAATATAAGGTACAGCAGATCTTTCCTTCTCCGATTGATGATGTCTTTCTATGTAAGCGTAACATCGCTAACATGGCTCATATGGGCTCACCTGTAACAGATAGCGGTATAGGAAGATCCAGCGTGTTGATGATGTCCTTGGTCTGTCGTGCCGCCAAGCATGTAACAGATGAGTAAAGCTGGCAATCATTGAACACCCCAGAAATGAAAATCCACTTGACGGTCTCATCACAGTAAGTGTTGGGACGTTTCGCCTTCCACGGTTCGATCCATCTCGCGGGATACAGCCCCAGAACTCCATGGCATTTGAAGTAGTCAACTTGGACAGCCAGCTCGACCAACTCGTCAAAGGTCACCGAGGTAGGAACTTCCTGCATGCGGCAGTGCATCAAATTAAGCAGGATCGAAAACGCCTTAGGATCAGTATCGGGGACATCCATCTCGACGCAGCCATTCTTCTGCAGTTCTTCGGCGTCGCCCGATTCTTTCTTCAGCCTGTTTTCGAAGTATTGCGAAGCCAAGATCAGATGTTTAGAGGAAGCTCGGTACCTGGCAACTTCTGCCTCTCCATCTAAATACAGCCTGGAGGGTGCGTATGCGCGAGGCTGCTTTGGTGGGGATACCACGAGGATGACATCCCCGTTTGGATCGGGGTCACTGGCTCTGTTCCCTTCTGTTTTCATTTTGAATTCCTCATCCTATGAAAAGGCCATGAAGGTATAAAATGGTTCCTGACTGTAGGATGAAGTTGAGGGCATCATAAAGAGGTCTGATGAGTTGACGAGATCAGTGAATATTGAGTGACCTTGGCAGAAGTGAATCTGATTACCTATGCCTTAGGTCTACTTCATTCACTCTGCCATAAATTGACCGAGTAGTTAATGATAAAGTACTAGCATATCTCAACCTAGTGCATATTTGATTTGACCTAAGAATTGCCTCTATTTACATGAATGCGCTCAGTCTATTGCTAGACTGACTCCATGGGAATAGGGTTAGGGTAAGTACCAATAGCTTAGTTCACTTCTACAAAGATCACTTCAATAATGGCGGTATCTCCTCTATTGCTTCGCTGAAGCTTAGGTACTATGTGTCACGAAGAGATTCGCTGGCTGTAGATTTCCTTCAGTGACTGGGTGACAGGAATGTTCTAATTAGGTTTACTTAGAACATCCCACCCATATCAGACTCGAAATAACGGAATCGAAAGATCGCCTCATAATTTAACAGTTGTATTCTTTGGACAATGGAACCGCTATTCGCAAAGCCCTCTATACTATGACTGTCATGAACACCGTCTCCCCTATCCGCCTGCGGCAGGGATCTCAGCAAATTCTTCAAGTCAAGCTGACTGGACACAGTCATCGTGTCCTGAATCATGTTGGGGCAGCCCAAGCCCTTCGCATGAAATAAAACATAATACAGGGTAAAAATGAACAAGAAGGGAAACCGGACAATGTACCCATTCTATGCGCCAGGTATACTCCATGGTAAGTATGCAGACCTCCTGACCAGCCATGCGATGAGAAACACTGAATAGAAGGACAATCCAGAGAGTCCCTCTATTTGTTGTGTATCAAGAAGTTGCGGAATGAATCCCAGTGATCCGAGTCGGCGTAACTGAAAAGCATTAGTATATGAAGATATCGCGTAGCAAAGTTGAGACATACATGTATACCATGCTGCTTCTCAGACTCGACATAAGTGTCTCTGGATGCCAACGGAAGATGTACATAACAAGTGCCCAGCTGAGACTTGCAAATACCGGCCACGCATTGGCCTCGATTCTTGCGCGCGATTCGGGAGTGATCAAGGAGGATAGCGGGTGCATATTCGGCTGGACAGAGAGTTTGGCAAGAGCAAGCACCACACGAGCAAAGACGTATATGACGATCTGGACAAGCACATTAGTCTCATTTCTCTCCTCCTCAAACTTCGAATTGATCGCACCTGCTGAGTAATGCTTGTTTTATGCCGACCAAACACTGCATATCCTCCCAGCAGACCCGCAAAGAAGCTGTCATAACGGCCTTCTTTCCCGACACCAGCAGGATTGACGTTGCGCAGAACAATCATGGAACTCTTATATATAAGAGCGAAAGTCGCCAGGTTCCGAGCATGCTGGCGTGTGGCTTTCAGGACGAGCTTGACCTTTTCTCGGAATCTAAATCACGGAATCAGTATTTTCGGCAACGTGCTCGGCATGTCGATAGGATCGCCTTACGTTCCGGAGCGGAATAGAAAGATCATTCTGTGAGATCAAGATATCTCGCATTAGCTGGGTTTTCGATGTCAAGATTGCGTGTTTCCGCCAGCGGAATCAGACATACACCAAAGCGTGCGGAAACCGCACTTTTGATCCATATACAATGCCATTGCGGGCACCCTTAACGAGCGACAGAAGGGGCGCAAGTTGAGGATTGAGGACAAAGGAATCCAGGCGAGACTAAACAGCGATCAGAAAAGTATGTGACATAGCCGGATTGACAAAGTCGAGTAGGAGCGTCAGGCATACCAGAAGCGCATCCATGGTGTCTGGGGAACCTCGGTAGGTTGATCGGACCAGCGACGGATTGGATTAATGTCTACCGACGGAGAACACCAGGTGTCAAGAGGGTCAGGATATAGGAAGGAATAGAGGTCAGGAACTACCAGGAACAGAACGACGAGGTATAAGTATGGATGGGCATGATCCCATCATCAGGACACATGGTGGGGAGGGCGGCATTTAATGGACTGCGCTGCACCCGCGCAACCGCAAATGATCCTCGGCATGTGAGGCCACACGTCATGTCACGTGACTGTATCCTCTCTCCTCCTTCACTTACCCTCCAACGTATCCGGTCAGCTACTGCAAGCAGTGCAGTTACTTCGCTCCATCTAAGCAAACATAATGCAGAGATAGCTAACCTAGGACGAGGCGAAGCAGGGCAAGGTCCCAGCAAGACCTTTAAATGAGGTTGCAAGTCTGCAAAAGGGCAGCATTTACGTATAGACTCCTACTACTGAGTCCTGAGGATGTTCACATTGAGGATGCGAGCAGCATCGGTTGTCCTACCAGACACAGGAGAAGGACGGGCCCTTGAGGCTCTGAAATGCTGCATCCACCGAGTTAGTCGACTGTGGAATCGAAATGCAGTGTGAAGAAATTGGAAAAGGGGTTGTCTTGACTCTGTCTTGACGGCATTCAAGCCTAATATGTAGCAGCTTGTCAGTATCAAGAAGATACCTCTGAGATTCCATGGAGAGGACGTATCGGCCCTTTCGAAGAATTGATTAAGGGATGCGTTGAGCGGTTCATCCTTCAGGTAGAAGCAAATTTGAACTCACAAGACTTAGATAGGAGGTAGGATGATGAGCGAATGAACTGGACAATAACCATGTCACATTCATCCTGCATCAGCATTGGCTTCTAGGTAATGGTAAAGGAATGCAGAAGCGTTTCAAACAGTGCAAGTGGAATGCTCAGTTGGTAGAAGAATAAGATAATCTTGATATATGCTGGATACTTTTAAGCTATAGTGACCATGAACGAAAATGATCGATCTGCTCGACGGCCTCGACAGAGAAACCAAACCACCTGAACGCCTTATGCGGTATAGATAGACAAAGTATCATGCGTCAAAAACATCGCCAGACAAACGGACACAACAGTCTATTCCGTTCTCGCCTTCTTCCGTCCCTCGTCCTCCGAGACTTCGTCCACATCCATCATCTCGGCATCCTCCTCATCAGACTCCACACCAGCACGTCGCTTCAGACCCTTCATCTTCCTCGTCTGCAGGCCAGACAGATCCTGCTTGCCCAAGTGCACACGACCGATCTTGTCACCCATGACGTCCATGCCGATGTTCTTCTTCGTCTTCATGTTCTCATTAGGTCTCTTGCCCTGCTTCATGGCCTCCTTCAGAGCATCCTTGGGCGCCTCCTGCAGACGACCGATCTTGAAGTCGAACTTGGGCCCGATCTCATCCAGCTCAACGCGGGGGAGTTTGTGTCCACTGCGCTTTGTCCGAACCTTGTACCACCTGAGATGAATAACAGGAGCCAGGCCGTCGGTAGGTTCCTCAGCGGCAATCATCAACACGTACTGCAGTCCCTCGACATCGATCTTATCCGACTCCTCGCCCTTGAACATATCAACAAACATGCTCTTCAGCATAACGTGAGCGGCAGAGTTGGAATCTTCCCACGCAGTACCCGTGAACAGCAGCATAGGCCGTAAACCGATTCCGATCTGCATCTTGAGGTTGTTCATCGCGGGGATCGAGTCTCCGTCCGGGTTAGGGAGCAGCATCAATTCGCACATGTCCAGGAGCTTGGAGTCGAATATCCGCGCCACAGTCACGCAGTTAGGTCTCTTCTTGCTGCTGCTTCCGAAAACAACAATACCGCACTCATTCTTGTTGGCGAGAAACTCGATGCTCTCGGCGCTCTCGAACGGGTGAATGTTCTCGTTCTTCTTGTGGAAGAGGACGGAGTTGGGGACCGTCAGCGAGTGTAATGTCTTGAGGACTGTGTTAAGTGCTGTCGGGCATTTTGAGCCATGCATGAAAAGGGTTCTCTTGGGGGGTTCGATGAGTTGGGGCTCGCGGGCCTTGAGAATGCGCGCTGTGCGCGGATTCTTGGGTTTGCTGTGGAGAGAAAGACCTTGTCAGATGGTACTTTCCTGCACAGAGATAGACAAATAATTCTGTTTCCGGGACAAGACTTACACTTCTCTGAGCATTTTGACTTCTTCTGCTTTCAACGACGAAAACTTGGGTGTTTCGCCGATCACCGACTTGCCTGGTCGAGGAAGAAAAAAGCGGAACGAAAAGTTTTGGCGGAAATGTCTTGGCGTCGCTTATCGATAAGCTTAACTGGAGATGTCCAGAGTCCAGACATCTGCAACTGCTTACTCTTCTTCTCGCATATTGTTTTGATGAAATATTTGGTGGGCTGTATAAATCCAGTAGAAAACAGCATACAAGTACATTAATTCCAGGTCACAGCAAAAGACTCGTGAGGGTCCAAGTAACAAGCAACAAGAAATGCATTCAACAGTAAAATGGCGATTTTTATTGTTATATCTCGGGGTCATCTAATCTACTCCAAGCGAAGCTTCTCAAACTCGCGAATCTGCTCTTCCAGCCGGGCAGCCTCACTCTCGGCATCCCGGAGCTTTCTTTCTTCCTGTTCACGAACCTCTGGCTTAACCTTCTCCTTCCATCCAGCGCCGTTGACGAGAGTCTGTTGGCGGCGAACAGTCTCGCGTGCCTTCTCCAGGCTGGCCTTGGCCTTCTCTTCCTGCTCCAGAGCTACCTCTTTCGACACACGGAGGTACACAGCGGCCTGAGCACCGACGGCGGAAACGACACAGCCTGAAGGGGGATTGGTGTTCTCGGGGTTAGCTACGCTGAGGTCTCCCAAAAACTTGCCACCCAGGGACTTGATACTAGTCACCTCGTCCGAGATGGTCTTGTGGCTGACAGGGTCATATGTCTGGATAATGATGTCGCCCTTAGTCTTGATCTCATATTGGGCAAGGATCGACCGGATGGCCTTGGAGGTATTCAGGATGAGCTCGTAAGCCGTCTCGGCTTCGGGGTCGTTGAACTCTGGATTGTACTGGGGGTAACGAGCCTTCATGATCGAGGTGGTCTCATCACCAGGTCTGCGAGGTAGACGCTGCCACAGGTGC